ATAAGCAATAGCTAACGAGAATTCAGATGTTATACGAATGATTTTTCTTTCTCTTTTTAAGAAACAGGACTCTCTTGTCACCCAGGCTGGAGTGCAGTGGTGCAATCATAGCTCACTGCAGCCTCGAACTCCTGGCCTCGAGCAACTCTCCTGCCTCCGCCTCTTGAGTAGCTGGGACTACAGGTGCACACCACCATCTGGCTCAGGAATGATTTTAATAGAGTTTTGTAATTTGCAGGCACAATCTGCAAGCATAATCTAAGATGCATGCTTTATAATGTATGCATAATCTGACAGGAAGGCAGAGGAGACATGTAAGAGGGTTATTATTTCAATGAGCAATTCATAAGGAAGACATACCATATTGGCACTAAGCCAGTAGTGGCCATTTCCTTTTCTATAGAGCCTTCTGCTCACTCAGTACTCACCACTGCTCCCTTCCCTGCCACTTCCATTTCTGTGCCTGGTGCATCAAAAACAGAGTCAAGGGTAGAATATCTCGTATGCTGGGGGAGCATGAGGGCATCTCTCCTTCTAGCAGCACAAGGACAACACTGACCATGAGAGCCCTTTAGGCAAAAGCAAATGATGAACACAGCGTTGGAAGAGACTAGCAATCGCTTAGTCCAACTCTCTTAGTGTCACATGAGAGAGAAGTGAAATGGCTAACTGGGAGCAGAGCCATCTCTTGCACATATCTACCCCTAATTCATAGTCCAATATTTTATACATTCATTAATTTATTCATTTATTTATGTTTTTGTGATACCTGCTATATGTCATGACATTTGCTAGACCATCAGTCAAGATACAAATATGAATAAAATACATGGTCTTTGCCCCCAGGAAGTCATGATGTAGGGTGAGAGAATCCTAGGAACAAAAATGTGCAATATAGTAAGTGACGTGCTATCAAGGAGATCTGTATGAGGGTTAATGGCAGCACAGATGAAGACATAATCTACTTCTGTTGCGAAGATAGGTGTCACAGAACACAGCGAAGGCCAGCTTCACAGAGGACAGGTTTCTTATACATTGCACAGAGGATGCTGCGCAGAGAGGATGGAGAGGGCATTTCCTTGTTACTTAGAGGGGAAGAGAGAAGGATATTCTATCAGGCGAGAGCCATATTTGCAAGCGTATGGTTTGCTACTCTGGAGAGAGGCTCCATAAATCAAGTTTGAAAAATTCTGCGTACTGTGTTCCTGGCTTTGTGATTATGCAACATTTTTCAACTTCCTTGTTCGTGAGCCATTTCTATGTGTGTGTGATATTAATTATTTGAAACACCTGCAGGAAAAGCCATTTTCAACCTTCCTCTAAAATGCCACTCATCTGTCCTTTGATTTCCATTCCTGGGGCACTCCCATTGACTAAGCACTTATTATGATGTCTCCAGACTTTTTCAATAGCCACTTAAATGCTTTTCTTCATCAAATACTAAGTACTGGCCAGGCACGGTGGCTCACACCTGTAATCCTAGCACTTTGGGAGGCTGAGGCAGGTGGATCGCTTGAGCCCAGGTGTTAGAAACCAGCCTGGGAAACATGGTGAAACCCCATCTCTACCAAAAAAACAAAAACAAAAATTAGCCAGGCATGGTGGCACATACCTGTGGTCCCAGCTACTTGGGAGGGTTAGGTGGGAGGATTGCTGGAGCCTGGGAAGTTGAGACTGCAGTGAGCCGTGATCCCACCACTGCACTCCAGCCTGGGTAACAGAAATTAAAAATTAAAAAAATTAAAAAATTAAAAAAATAATAATTAATACTAAGTCTCAAAAAATTAAAAAAATAATAATTAATACTAAGTACCATCATCAAATTAGTCTGCGTAAAACTTTAACAAGGTTTACCTTTTATTTATTTGTCCTTTTAAGGTAATACATTCACCCGCTAAAAACATTTAAAAGTACAAAAGGATATATAGTGAAAATTTATTCTTTTACCTTTATCCCTTAGTCAGCCAACCAACTCCATTGGCAACTACTGTTATTAGCTTTTTATACATCCTGCCAGAGAGATTTTATGAATTTACAAATTAGAATTTTATTTTTCTCTCTTTTGTACATAGATAGGAGCATAGGATAAAAAACTGTTCTCTACTTTGCTTTTTTTACTTAGCAGATCTGGGAGATCCTGCTCTATCACTTCAATAAGTTCTTCATTGTTTGTTTGGTTGTAATGTATTCCAGTGTATGGAGGTGCTAGAGTTTATTCTACTAGTTTTTAGGTGATGGCCATTTATGTTGTTCTCAGCCTTTACTATTAAAAATGGTGCCCCAATATGTGCTGATACTTCTTTGAACATATCACTCAACTTAAAAAACACGTTGACTGCCAGGTGCTCACAGAGCGGAGTACTTTATTGGAGCATTCAAAGCCTTCTTCAATAAGGCTCCAAATAGCTTTCTGATTTTACTTTTTGTGTGCGTCAAAATGAATTTTCTGTGTTAGCCAAATGACTACATTCAAGGTTTTTTTCCTTCCCCCTGCTCCCTGCCCAAGTTCCTCTTTAATTCACTCTTCCTTAGGTCCCCAAGTGAACTGTCTTCTTTAGCTCCCTTTGATAACATTTATTATTCCTCAAATGGGCCTTTGCTTTATGAAGCTCTCTGGTCTGAATCCCCACCTTCGGGCTTTGCCTTTGGAGGTCATGTCTGTCCTTCACAGCTCAGCTTGAGTTCCACCTTCTCTGCTGAGCTTCCCAGGCTTTCTAAATCTACAGGAACATCTTTCTCTGATAAAGCGTAGCTCTTGCTGTCTGTGTCATTCTTTTTCTTTTAGCAAGTGTGTGTATACACAAATGTCCATCCAGACTTATATAAATGTTTAAATGTTAAATGTGTACATGTCCTTTTTTATCAGCAACATTGTGAGGTATTGAAGAATATCTTTTAGTCATTGTTTTTTTTTTTTTTTTTTGAACCAGGATCTTGTTCTGTTGCCCAAGCTGGAGTGCAGTGGCACAGTCACAGCTCACTGCAGCCTCCATCTTTAGGGCTTAAGTGATCCTCCCGCCCCAGCCTCCCACGTAGCTTGGTCTATAGGTGTGAGTTGTGTGCCACTACACCCAGCTAATTTTCAGATGTTTTCTAGAGGCAGAGTCTCATCATGTTCCCTAGGTTGGCCTCCAACTCCTAGTCTCAAGTGATCTTCTAGCCTCAGCCTCCCAAAGCACTGAGATTTACAGGTGTGAGCCACAGCACCAGGCATTTTTAGTATTTTGTGTACATCTTCATGGCCCTCACAACTACCCAGTGCAGTTCTTTCCTCTGTCAGTTTTTGTTTTCTCATTTGCTATCCTTAAACATTCAAAAATTTTACATGCTCCTTTGCATGAAAGCCCTCGTTGGTTCTTCTTTGCCCCATGTGGATTCAGCATCCTGGTCCTGGGCTGAAGATGATGGCCACTCAGCCGGGCCTCGCCTGGCCACACTCCTCCCTCCCAGATCTGGCTCCTTGCCTCAGCCAGATGGACTCGCCCTTGAGGCTCCACAAATGCCTTACGATTTCTGTTTCCATGGCAACATTCATGCCATCCTTTCCAATATGCTGTTCCCTTTTCCCTTTTCTAAATCATGTTTCCCCAACCTCAGTGAAGCTTTGATACAACAGGCTTTTCTAGATCGTCTCTCCAGTGTCTGCAGTCATGGTGAGGTACAGGAATAACAATACCGATAGTTAGCTTATATTGAGAGCTTTTACGTGTCAGGCACTGTAGAGCTATATTATTTGTATAATCTCACTCACTCTTCACAACCTAGAAGATAGGCACACTGCCCACACACTATGTATTTATCCCATTCTTTTTTTTTTTTTTTT